AGAAATAAAATGGAAGTTTCGAAAAAGATAGAGTCTTCAGTGTCTTCTGCTGCCACAGAACCAGAACAACGATCGTCTACTGGAATACAACAAGAAAACAACGACCGCACGCTGAAAAACTGCACTAAAAACACGACACCAAAAATATTCTCTATTACCGAAAACAAGGTGCACAATAATATTGCTTTTCCCAGCGTAACCTTGAAGGAATGTTCAAATGTTACCATAAAATATTAAATATTAGTTTCTTTTGTTAATGCGTTAGCAATTTTCTTAATAAAAACGAGTTAAATTAAAAGTTGTATTTAATTTATTTTGTTAATGCGTTGGCAATTTTAATAATAAAAACGATTTAAATTAAAATTTCATTTTTGTGGTCTCTGTTTGCAGTCGTATAAAAAGTATCGTAAAAAACTCGCTCGACTTGTGGACCTCGCCTTCGGCTCGATCCACCAATATGTCTCGCTTGTGTGCAAAGAGTCGTTTTCAAACCTTGTTGTTTAATATACTATTGTGCAATATACAACATGTTCAAATTTTATCATTTACCGCCGACACTGGTGCGTCAGTGGGCACTAGGGATAATATATTTTTAAGCAGTGCCCCTGACCCAACATATGCGGCGATGTATTTTTTTGCAAAAAAATGTGTATAAATTTTTAAACTTTAAAACAATATATTTCTATATTTTTATAAAAATTGTTACTAATCATCCCAAATTAGTTGATTGGGATTGCCGAATTACATACGGCATTTGATGGGCAGCGAACGTGTTAAATAAGAAAAAAGGGCATTCAAAAATTTAGGTCAATCAATAGAGTTTTTGTTTGTGACATAAATCATAGTAGCAAACGGACTGTGCCATCATATAAAAGACAGTCTGTAGATATATGCTTATATGTTTCATACTTCAATTTGCCATTAATTTTTTATAAACATTTTTATGCAAAAAACGTATATTTTTTAAGTTTTTGCTTATAAAACCTAAACTAACGAAGCAATATGAATGCTATAAAGAGACAATTTGTAGAGAATCGAAATACGAATTAATATCGGCCGATAAGAGATAGACGTACGAAAAGAGATAAACAAGTCTTTTATAAAGTGTGTTCGAAGGTTAAGAAAGACATAAAAAAAGAGAAAGAAGGTATTCAATTCAGATTTACTTCTATTCCTTTGGAGATTAAATGGAAAAACAAACGAATGTCAAAAAGCAATTTGTATTGTTATCATAGTAATTTTGAATAGCTCTTTGAATTATAATCTTCAATTCCGATATATTAATATAAGAACAATTTTAATTATTACAGGCCGTAAAATGAAAAAAATATACACTCTAAGTTTAGGCGTGATGAGGGCCAATACAGTTTACCCACGAGATTAAATGGTGCTCCAAAAACTAACACATAACTTTTTAGGTTGCATGAATTTCACTTACGATCCATACGACTTCTCCGTGACCAGCACTATGTCGATGAATGAAAATACAATATTTTCAAACACATTTTCAGGTGAGTTTATCAAATCGTTACATCTTGTTTATATTCGTAATTTATAACATGCAATTGTATTAAACAAATACTCTTCAGAAAATGTGATCAGTACTAACTAGTAAGAGAATTATAAAATTACAAAACCACCTCCAAATAAGTTAAGAAATTTCACAAGATTTAGTATTAGGACGTATGCTTTTTTATAATGGTTAAATGATTAAGATCTTAACACTGAAACAGGAACTGTTTTTTTTTATTGGCTTCATATAGTGGCTTCATTTTAGAACATATTATGTTATAAAAAAATAAATGATAAAGCCATGATAAACTTCTAAGCCAAGTCCGTTGTGATTAACTAAATAAACATATGATTAGCAGGATATTTTGAGCTTTATTTTTTAATTATTATTAATGACGCAATTGTTCTTCATTTTTAATGTACCACCACCCACACCTCAAAAATACAACATTTTAGACTTGTGGTTATTCCTCAAACTTTGTCCTCTCAAACCGTACTTTAAGAATCTAAAAATATGATTATCAGAAGAAGGCTGTATACAGAACGCTACTAGACTTAAAAATTTAGTCTCAATATGGAGCAGGATGCATTGCAATATGCGGGTGCATCTTCCTGAAGGGAATTATTTTTTTTATGTAAAATATTTCTATAACAGCTTCATATCGTTGGCTTCAGTTCACTTTCCAAAAGTACATTCACCGATTACCTTTCTTCCTTTTCTGAAAACATTTCAAATTAGTTTCATCCATATGCCAGAATAAAGTGAACAGGTCTTTTTAGATGTTGATTTGATTTTCTTCTTTAGTGAAGATACAACGCTAGCGTTGTATAGTTATATCGACCGATATTGTCATGGAATATGATAGGTCGTAGGTCTTTTTGAGGCCCCATGTTGGGCGCCATTTCGTAGAATATGATTGGTCGCTGGCTTCGGCCTGTCATCTGTCAGCATAAGGTGCATAATCCATATTATAGGATTGGATGGAACGACTGGGTTCATTTTTATCTGCGGTGTTGGGAGGTTAAAAGCCCGCTCGGCTGTCAGAGGGTTTCCAGATTCGTGTGTCCCCTCCTTTACGTCAAATGTATTGAGCGCTTGGGATGACACATATCATCGAGGACGTCCTTCTTCCTCTGTTAATAACGAGAGATATGGCTTGCTTCAGGTTCTATTTTCGTTCCAAAAACACTTGGTTACTTCACTTGCTTTAGTTTCTTGCTTATGAGGGTTTCAACTGATCCTCACCTATTTTGCACTTTATTTTATGGAGCACTGTGCGTCTGATACTTTTGTGTCTATATAACTGTCTTTGAATGCTTGCTAGGCACTAAAGTTTGTTATTTAAAACCTTCGTTGAACAATTTTGGAACTTTGGAACTCCTTGGAGGGCGTGTGTACGGCAGCTTTAGAACTGGGTACATGGTAGCTTTAAAGGCTGGGTATCGTACATAGGAGAAACCTAGGTGGCTGCCTTGAAGGACTACGGGAGCTTTGAGCTCAGTTTGGTATTTTTTGCAGAGAAATATAAACGAGGAATATCGAGTAATATTTTGTAAATATTGGATTTATTGATTATTTTGTATAATAATGACAATAAATGTGAGTTTGAACATATACAATATGAAGTCCGCTTTGGGGCGGTAACATTCACGTTTCTGGATTCTCCTCTCCTTTGATTCTGGGCCACTCTGTGTGTGGTTTCATGTGTATATTAGTAGTGTTTATCTTCCTTCCAGTCTCGACTTTGTTGAATTCGGAAAATTTTTGGTTTCTGAAACGTGGAGCAGCTTTTCATCCTTTAGATCGCCCTTGGCGATTATTACTTCAACACCATCGTCCTCTGACGGTGTCATCTGCTGCGGCTGAGGTGATGTGGGTATTCTTCTTCTTCTTCCTTCCCTAGTGGTTAGACCTGATAAGTCCCATGTCACTGCGGCCTAATTAGGCCTATTGTGCATCCCACTTACTAGTCCTATTCTGCAAGTAGTTTTGTTCTTTTAACAAAGTCCAAAAGCTTCCTTGCTGACACTTCCCTCAGTTCCTTGGGTTCCAAATAGGGTCTCAGGAGCGTCATTCTACTACGTGCAAATCCCGAGCACTCGCCAAGGATATGCAGAGAAGTTTCATTCGCCGAATCACATCCTTGATTTGAGGGTGGTTTTTGGAGCAACGACGGAAACTTTGAAAACTGAGATGAATTATGATAATTTCCGCAACGCGTCGCCATCGGCGTTTTCGCTATCATCGGCCTTTGGTGATGTCGTCTGCTGCGGTTGGAGCGGTTTGGGGCTCGGGAGAGATTTTTGGCGCGACGGCGGACACTAGAAACTGCTTCCCTTGGAAATCGGTTTAGCTCCCTTGGGATGTGATTCTCGACTCTAGCCGCGATAAGACCTGCATAAAACGCATTTTGCTGACTTTGCGGTGCCGATTAGAAACTGAAGTGAATTTTTGGACTCCGCTCGGAAACTGGAATACGACAATACACACGATGTATATATGTAAATATTCCGAAATCTATGCACCATGTGTATATTTACCAATTGTTCATACGTCAACCGCTTTGGAAATGAAATCTACTTACGTGGTCATCGCAGTAACTGCGGCGTATTTTGCAGGCATGCTGTTTGTTTAGTTTTAGTGATAATCCAACTAGCTCTCTAAAATATAAGTATTAAAAAAGTGACATAAATGAAATTAAGTAAACATTTTCTACTATCGAGAAGGCAATAAAGTTCTGTTATCAGACCTATTATAACAATTTACAATATATCGACCATTTCTATACTAATCATCCAGTCCATCCATATCTAGCGGCCTCTCCAGACGTATTAGTGGAAGTTAATTGTCCCTCCAGACTAAGACATCAAGGAAGTATTGAAAACGCCAATGTTGAGTACCTCGATGATGATGGGAAGTTGAAAAAGCGTCATTATTACTATTCTCAAATACAAAACTTATTAGAGATTACAAACCGTCCTTGGTGTGATTTTGTCATTTATATCAATAATGATTTTCAGATTGAACGAATACAAAGATGCCATCAATTTTAGGACAATATTTTTGAAAGCCTAAAAGAATTTTACCATTTTTATTATCTTCCCAAAGTTGTCGAACCACATAAAACTACTAATAATTTCAGCCGTAAATGGGCCACATTGAAAAATATTGTTTTCTTAGATAATGGTAAATGATCACCATATTATAAGACTTTGGTCGGAAATGAGAGATGATACTGTTGCAGTTTTTGGAAAAATAGACTGTAGCGTAAAAGAAATTTTATGCTCAGAGTGTCTATCACTGAACGATACAATATAGATAGTTAACTTTGTAATTGACATAGCGCTAAATTTGTTAAACGTAGACAATGTTTTTCAAATTATTCCAGAAGAAATGTCCACTATTATATTTACCTATCATAATTTCTCCACGGACTTTCTGTAACGTACGATATCCAATCTTCTTTAGTAGCTATCCCAATATCAATTAATAACAATCACTGATGCCTGAACATAGTGGTTTTTGAGAAAACAGTTTATAATTTTGTTAATCCAATGAAAAACAATATAGTCCAAACAGAAATTTATTTAAAGAAATTTAAAAAGTTCATGAAAATTTGTTAATCTTTCGATTAACTGCAACAACATAAAATTAAAAATCTGCGATCATTTAATTCAGAAAGACGGATACAATTGCAATGCATTTATATTGCACTATTTTCTGCAAATCATTAATGATAGAAAATTAATAGTTTACTGCAGCATGGAAAAATATTCATAAAACAATTAATTCTCCGCAGATCAAGCTAGATGAGACTAAAATGTTTACTTTGTACAAAAAACTTGTCATAAAACGATAATATTACTTGAAGGTTTTGCAGAAGATATATGTATATTGCCTGTACTACCTTATGAGGAACAATTTTTATTAAAAACGATATGTGCAGCATCTGTCAGCAATATTAACTAATAGTAAACTAAAGATATTTTTAAATCAAAATAATATTAATGTATAACTAGATGCATCCATAATTGTCACATTTATTAAAGTGGAAGGCATTTTCCTCCTGACTGCCTGTTTGTGAGCATCATCGCCCATATTAATTTCACGTAAAGTTTGGGATATAAAAATTACCATGTCCCGAAAATGGTAAGGCTCACTTATCCGCGCCGAATGGAACGCACTCACCGCCCGAATCGAAATAAAATATATTTTACATTCTTTTATATAGTGATGGGCATAATTGAGCAATTTTGATAATCGAGTTATCAGTACTCGAGTACTTCTAATAATAGAGTGATCACTCGAGATACGAGATATTGGTCATTTATGATCGCTAGGCTGCTCGGACACATGGATTCTGCGACTGCGCTTCAGGTCTCGAGTCACGACGTTCGAGTGCTCCAACAGATATTTAAAAATTCAAATGAAACTGAACTGCGTTGTTATAGTATATATATTTTTAAATATTTTATTGCAAGGTACATACGTTTTTTATTGTTTTTGTTGTCATTTAACGATGGAGGTAAATATTTTTTATTATATTATACCTATGCATCATAAGTACAATTATATTTCAGATTACGGGAAAATATATCACCAAAACGGGACAAATTTCAGTTGTTTGGAAATTTTTTAAAAAATCTGCAGACAATAATACTATGACTTGTATATACTGTAAGAAAACTTTAAGACAGCACATTATAAAAAAAATCACCCCGTGCAGTTTCATCAAAAAGAAGGTGTAAATAACTTGGAAATTTCTAAGCCAGACACTTACTGTTGAATTTGACACCCGTAACTGCCGGAACATGTACATCAGGTATTTTACAAACCATCAATAATAGAAGACAATTAGAAAGTAATGGTTCAGCGAATACGCCAATTAAATCTAATCGTAAATTGAGATAGTTACGATTAAGCAAAATTAATACTGAATTAGCAAAAACGGAAAAATATGCAATCGACAAATGTCCACATGATTTTCGTTCACTTTCACTTGTTGAAAATTCGGGATTTCTGGAATACACACGCGAAAACTGCATGCGTCATACTTGTCACCCAGCAGAAATGAACCAGCGTTATCAACCGAATTATTGCCGCGAATATATGCAGACATAAAACAAAACTTAAAGCAATGTTAAATTCTATTGAAAATGTTGCCGTCATAACAGATATCTGGACATCAGACAGGAACAAAGTATACCTATATTCCTGTAACATGTCACTTTATTCATAATAATCAATTATTCTCAACGTCCTGGCAACCGGAGAAGTGTTAGATGCGCATATAGGGGCTAATATTGCTGCCGTTTTATTAACTATATTTCAAGAGTGATAAATTGAGAACAAAATTGTAACAATCATTTCAGATAATGGAGGTAACATAAAAAATGCAGTTAATGAGCACTTAAAAAAGTATCATCATCCATGTACGGCCCACACTCTTAATTTATGTGTATAAGATGCTATACAAGCTAACGAACCATTTTTTAATAACCTGATAAGAAATCAGAATAAGAAATTATGACTTTTTAAAAATAGGGTAAAAATTCATCCTTCTGAAGGCCTGGTAGTGGAAACCGTCACTCAATTAAGCTAGGCTGTAGTAGATTCCATGTTAATTTATTGGCATTATGTGTGTATTTTCAGAGATAGAAATTAGATATTGTTTAATAGCGTGTTTTTAACAATATAACGGCTCGGTAGTAGAAGCCGCTTAAATCAGTTTGCTCGTATTAGTTTATCTATTCTGCAATATTACAATGACAATCATACCCTAGAAAATATTAATTTTTTATACAGCGGTTTTCATCTCTCTGACGGCCTGGTACCGATAGGTGCATAGGTTTCCCTATATTGTTCCTTTTTATGCCATATTAGTTCGATCTTGACAGTATGAGTAAGATTGGAGTTAGAAATTATTTATTTTTTAATACAGCTTCATATCCAACCAACGATCAGTAAACGGGCACTAAAAGATAGTATCGAAACTTCACATAACAGAGTACACTCTTTTTGAATTTCAAACAGGTGTGTAAGGAAGCCTGGACAAGGCATGGATTGTTATGCCCAATGTTTATGTTTTGATCACGTACAGATTCGTAGACGATTGAAGAAAATACATGAGTCAATCCTCTTTAACAGTCATATAAGACTACTTGCGGTTTGATAAGCTGTTTTACTTGTACCAATAAAATAAATATTTTTTATTCTGTGAATGGTTGGTTCATAGTTGTGTGTGTACGTGGTCCTTTTATGAATATTGTCTGTTTGTCATTATTTTTTTAAATAAAAATATGCATTTTAAGAATCGATACAGAGAGACACTCAAAGGTTCCACTTTGTTTGGGTTATCAAGAGATCTTTGCGTCTTCAAGCAATGTTAATAAACATGTGAACGAAGAGAGAAGAAACATAATAGGCATTCATTAGGGACGAATCTAACCATGCTAGGCACACGAGCTCTGTTATAAAGAACATAGTACAAGTATTTCATTAAAGCTATACCTTTTTGTGAAAATAGTATAATATCTTACAATAACCATCACAATTTTTAAGAGGAACACAAGTTCCATATACCATTCTTATCATGACTTAAACATTATTTTCTGCATTTTCAGCTAAAAATCCACCTCCTTTATGCATACCGGTACCAATACCATACATTCCAATACAAATTGAGACTTGTGCCAGAATCTACAACGTATACACTCCAGGGCAAAATTTGCATATGTGTTTTGATTTCGAGACACGTATTCAGAAAGCCACATTGTTCATTCTTCACTTCGACTGCATCAGAATGGGATTGGATGGAGTAGCACTGTTAAAACCTGACGATATGGGAGGTCTCTCAACGTCAACGGAATACTTGATTGATTCGGATATATATGACGAAGTAACGGAAATAAAATTTAAAAGTTGATGTTGGGATATATATTTTTTATTTTTTATAATAGAGGGATAACAAATTGTTGTGTTACTAAAATAAATGTAAATAAACTAGAAACTGTAAAATTGGGTTAATCTGGCCATTTTCATCGACTTTTTGAATCATATTCAAATGTTAAACATAGATACAAAAATGAAAACCCTCTAATTCCAACGACACTGATTTTACCAAAAAAAAAAAACAGTTACGAAATTTTATTACATAATAATTTGCTGAAAATATAAGTGCAATAATAAGCAATCTAATAATTTTAATTTTTAGATATATGTTTAAGAAGAATGTTAACAAAAATAAGCCATTCTTTACCACAAAAAACTTTATACCCATATAAACTTAATACATACAGGGTGTCCCTAAAAGATCTTTACGACTCCTCACCAGATACAGTTGGATTCAAAATAAGTCGATTTTAAAACGCCTTATACGATTTTGCTAAAATTTGGTAAGTTGACACCTTTCTATAGGACAATAAACGCCATATCAAAAATATAAGTAATATCAATCTATTGGCCTAGAACTTGGATTTTTTAGTAATTCCATAATTCTACGCCAATGGAAGCAAAGAATTTTAAGTATAAAATTTAGATTAAGTAAATTATTTACTATTAAAAAAGGTACTCTTGATAAGACTCGATTACTCTCATGGTATATTCGAAATTTAAAATTTATTATTTAAAATTATTTACAATTAATTATTATTATTCCTTAAATAAAAGTGAGACTTTTTAACAAATACACGCTTATTCGTTTCGGCGTATTCCATATGGTTGTATATTAGCTTTTTTCGGTATACCATTTTTTCATAAGTGTGCAATATTACACAAATCATTTTGATTGTTGGTTGTCATAGTTTCAAATAAATAAAACTTGTCACATTTAAGACACATAAATTATTAGTAAGATTCAAAAGTTTCTCATTCACTTAATAATTTGAATTAAATTTTCATTTATCATGGCCCTACTACAGTACGTCAATGCAGAATATACCGATATGTTATTAGTTTTTGGATATTGTGAAAGAAATGGTCGAGAGTGTGTCAGAGTGTACTCAGAAAGATTTCCAAATCGTTGTATACCAAGCCACCCAACGCTTGCTCCTGTAGAGAGACGTCTTTGGGAAATCAGTCGCTTATTATGGAAGGCAGCGTTATGTAAGGGTTCCTGAAGTTGAAAAGATATCTTGGAACGTATTGTGGAAGACCCTGAACTAAGCACGAGACGATTAAGTAGAGAAATAGGAGTATATAAAAATATTGTGAATAGGGTAAGTACTTAGAAAACAGTTGCTACATCCATACCATAAGCAACCAGTTCAAGACCTCTTACTCCATGAGTTATTTTAAAATTATAAAAAAAGATTTCAAAATTGCAAATTCAGGGCCGTATCCCGCCCAAATAGAGCTACTTTGAACTAAGGTAAGTTTAGCTAAATCAACTTATTTTGAGCCACAATGTATCTGGTGGAGACCTTTTAGGGACACTCTTTATATATTACATATCCTTTTAGTTATTTTAGTTTTTTTTTCTTATACACTTAATGAAATTGACCAGTCGCCATTATTCTATGGCTAGAAATTGGCCTCAATGATTTGGGATCGAGGGGGATTATCCCTCTTTATCCTGCTTCATTTCGTGTAAGCCTGGACAGCCTTCGTAGGTGGGACCCATCCGTCGTCTACCCCGACCGCAAATGCGGCCGGTGTAGGCGCTTTGTGGGACCTCCTTTTGTCCTGGCTGGGCNCACTATACTGTATTTTTAGGTATAATTGATCACTCTAAAAAGTTTCAGCCTTGTAGGTATAAGGCATTTAAGTATTATTTATTTACATGTTTAAAAAATTGTTACTAACGTTTGCCCCCACATTGGCGCGGTAGACTGCCGTTCCGTTTACTTACGGTATCAAAACAACAAAATGAGAAAAAATCAGCTTTGTAGGAATTGGTGCAAAATTTCTGTCGCTGCCTCCCGGACTAAAAAGTTATGAGGACTAGTTGGCTTAGGTCGTCCCTGGCGTCAGATCGAAATAAGCACCATGTAGTTTTAATGATATTTAATAGATGTACACTTCGCCCAAAAATTACAAATCCCTGAAAGAGTTTCTGAGTTATTGCGGAAGTTATTTTTTTCTAAACAACACCCTGTAATTCAGTGAGAGTGCATCGTAAAAAAATATTTTATAAGAATTTTAATCTTATTTTTGTCTGGTCTACCGCCTGATAAATTTTTGTACGCTTACACTGGGACACCCTGTATATTGAATTTGATAGTTCCGTTTATGTATTTTTTATACGACTGCCTTGCAAAAGGGGGTTTTGCGCACGGAAAACACGCTCTGAGAATGGTATTTTGCACACGCCGTGTGCTAAACATTTTGCACACGGTTATGTCATCTTTGCACACGCGTCTCCAGATTGTGATTTTTGTTTGATGTTGTCACCCAAATTATGCAATGTTTCAAGTTGTCTGAGTTTCATAGCAACCGTCTCGGCTCCTTTATTTTGTTGATTTGGTGTGAAAATGTGTGATTCTGAAGAGATTTTACAGAAAGCAAGCGAAATATGTTCGGAACTGCTGCCCACAAAATCCAGAAGCAGGTATGAAGCTGAGTTAAGCCGATTTATGGACTGGCGACTAGCCAAAAATGTCCAAACTTTCTCAGAAAACGCAGTAATGGTGTATTTTGAAGAACTATCTAAGAAATATAAATCTTCGACGTTGTGGACGATTTTTTCGATGCTCAAGTCAACGTTAAGTGCCAATCACAACATAGATCTTGGAAGCTATAAAAAGTTGCAA